TTGTGGTTAGAACATGTTTTTCATTTTATTGCAGGACTGTGTATGGTACATAGAAATGTGACTTCATGTGATGCATATGTTCTGTAGTGGTGGAGTACAACAATTAAATGTATCAGAATCACTGGTAGCTATATTTTCTAAGTAACACACATCAATCTGTCTGACTGTGTTTGGACATCTTGTTAGAATTTAGGACTTGCCACCACATAAGACACAAAAAAGGTTTTGTTAATTTTGTGGACAAATCAGCAATTAGCATTTTATTTCTGCAATAGAAATCATCAATTGTCATTTAAACCATAGTCACTATTTGAGGTTTAGATTTTTTTCTTCTTCTTAAACAGACAGGTCCCTAATTAAGCTGATTTCTAACAATATACTGTGCTCACTGCCACCAGTAGAGGAGTGGATGATTTAAAGAAAGGAATCAAATAAATATAGTTAAACATAACCTTGATTAACAAGTCTTGTTATTCATGGATGACAGCACAGTTAATAAGTGTTTTCTGGCTGGGATGCTGGACTGGAATTTAATGGTGAGGCACAAGTGCAACAGACTGCAGATTCTCAAGACAAACACACACCTCACAATCACAGTACGAGAGGCATGTACGGAATTAGTATGTATTGGCTGTGCTAGTCCAGTTCAGGTTTTCCCCTTCACTGATCCAGGTGTGAACATGAACAACACTATGAGCAAGAGACTTCTAAATGGGTGTTGGCCTCGTAGAAAACTGGCTCATGTTTAGAAATGTTGCTTGAAATTAGAGTTCCTCACCTGGAGGGAATTTTTTTTTATATATATATTAAAAAAAAAGAGTTTTGGCAGCAGTTGTAGTTAAGACTTGCAGAACAGATATCCAGCTCACGTAATCACAAAAGTGCATCCGCATGTTAAACTTGCTATGTAGTCTTCTACAGTGAATTTTCTGTCTTTAAATGTAAATGACATAGTATTGCCTTTCGACTTTGTGAGTCACTAGAGCAGAGACAAAAAGAGTTCAAATATGAAAAATATGTTTTGTACGTTTGCCATTAAAGGAACAATGTGATTTGAAGAGAGCTAGAGCCTGGATAGTTTCTGTAATAGTTTTCTCCTCCTCTTCAGCCTTAACCACATTTTTGGTAACCAAATCCATCTAAAGAGTAAGGAAAGAGTTAGAGATATGTATTGTGATAAGTGACTTTCTGTCGGCCCATTAGGGATATAAAAAAAAATACCTACAGAGAAAATTAGGAAAAACCATGCCCCCCTTTCCACTCCACAAAAATTCCTAAAATATGTGACCTCATGATGGTTAAAAGATAGCCAAGAGCCAGAGCTGGGCAATGATTTTATCATAGATTGAAGCCCGGGCATGTCATGGGTCATGTGGTTCAGCATGTGAACAGGAAGGTGAGAATTGGTGAACTTTTGCCTCAGTTGTGCAGTCCATCAGAGAATAAATGGACCAAATCACTGTGCAGCTGTATAAGGAGGTGAACGGCTGAATACTTTTCACACAGAGGCCTTTGTGTTCTGGACATGATCTAGCATTATGATGGGGCACACTAGGCTGCGGCTTTGTAGCAATTACTAAGCCATTATCACGCTAGAACACAAGATCATTTTTCTTCTAATTCAGAGTGTCACCTGTTCTTCATTTACCAGTCAATAACCATTAATTATGCTCAGTGGAAATTTAAACAAAGCTGCTCCTCTCTGTTAAAACCAGTAAACCATTCAGTAATGACAATTAAATCTGGAGCTGCATATCCCTTCTCCCTCCTTATTCTTGTTCTCTGCCTGGAGTGTGGTACAATATGTTTTCTTACGGGAAATGTCTAGAAATTGATAGATCAAGGGCCTCTGATAGTATGATGAAAAAAGAGCACATTCCTGACACATTCTGTAGGGAAAGTGTGTAGCTACTTCTTATACACAGATTTCTGATTGGCTACATAATATGTAACAGCAGAAATGAACATTTTTGGTGCTGAGTTTGTTGAAGTATTTTCTGCCAACTGGCTTGCCTTTGTCTTTATTTTACAAAAACTGCATGCAGACATGTTCAAATGAACAACTCTTTACCTCCTTGTTAAAACAATCAATGATTTTTTTCATAATTATTAGAATGTTACTTTTCACTGGTTTGATTGGGCTAATTATAAAATGGATTGAATGCCAAAAGAAAAGAAAAGGACAAACCATGATACATTTTCAAGTAATCGTTATTCCAAGCACTGCTTTTCCTAGCAGAAATTCAGGGAGAAGTTCCTTTTAGTTTAACAGCATCTGTGTTATTTGATCATTACAAGCTTGACCCTGTAGAAATGTACCACAATGTATGCTCCAAGATTTGCTTGCTCTTTGAAATGGTAGAAAAGCATGACAAAGCAAATCCAAAAAAGCTGGTAGGAAGTTTTAATATATATATAGGGAGAGAGAGAGAGAGCATTCATGTTGCCAAACTAAGAACCAAAAAACCCAAAGTAGCATCAAATATTTATGTGGTTACTGTTTTTTTGTGGGTGAAATATATATATTTCTGTAGCTAAAATGCAATTAAGCATCACACAAAAATAACAGTGACTACATAAATACCTGATGCTGTATTGACTGGGTTTTTTGGTTTTTAAGTTGGCAATGTGAATACTATGCCACACTAAATTGTTCAAAAATTAAAATATTTGTGTTATTAAATAATAGAAAATTGCTTTAAAATCTCCTCCTAATACCATTGGCCGTATCCTGATTTAATTACTCCTGCAAAAGTCCCATTGATGGAAATAGGAGAGTCTGTATGAATTTTGACTGACTGAATAAGGACTGAGAGTCTGATCCTACAGTCCCTTATTCACTCAGATAGTGCCTACTCCTTTGAGCAATCCTATTGGTTTCAGTAGGTCTACTTAGGTAAGTAAAGGTTTGTGGGATCAGGGATTGAGTTAGGACTTCAGGATTAGTCCCATGTTTCAAATATTCATTTTTTGCTCTGTTGAAGGTTGGTATGGCTGTGAACCCTACAAGTCTAGTCAGACGTGAAAGAAAGGGTGTCAGTGATTTACTGTAACCTTGTGAATCAAAACAAAAACCCAAATGTTCCAAGAAAGATAGTATCAAAGATAGCAATTAAGACATCTCTTGCCAGCAGAAGGAATTTCATCAGTCAATCGTATATTGCTGCGTCATTGGCTAGAGAGCTCAACCCTGGGGAGGAAAAATAAAGCTGCTGCCATTGTCCCACCCAGCATGCCACATCCCTGAAGCACAATTAATGTCAAGGACATACACAGGAGTTGCCCAAAATCCCACCTTCCGTGCACTTTCAAGAGGCGAAAGGAGCGTGTTAATAAAATCTCGCAGAAATATTAAAGCTACAAAGAAACAACAGGAAGCAAAATGACTTGCAAATAAAATAATTTGAAGGGAGTATATCTTCTTGCTTTGCCTGACACTAATTTACTGAAAGGGCGGGGTGGGGGGAGAGAAGAATTGAACTTCTCAGGTGGTATTTACTGAGAGAAACGGAGCTGTCCCAAAGCTTTTATTAATCTGATTGGCAGAGAATCCACTAGCATCTGGGGACCTACTAAAGTTTTCTTTAAATCTGACGTGAAGAGGTCAATGCAAATAGCATTGTGGATTACACTATAAGAAAATGGCAATTCCTTTTACCCTGTGGAGAAAGAAATGAATTATTTTGCTTTTGTGTACTGATTATTTATTAAAAGAAGGCTCTGATGTGCATCGATTGCTCCCTGTTTCTAACTTAAGGAAATAAAGTGTTTCCATCACTTTGACCTAGAGTGATAGTTTTATTTTTTCCATCTATAGTTTCTGGGTGGCAGTGTGGTCTCATGGATAGGGCACTGGATTGGGTGTAAGAACACCTGGGTTCTATTACTGACATTGACTGGCTGTGTGACTTTAAGCAAATTACTTTACTTCAGGGTGCTTCTGTTTCCCCTCCCACCCTTTGTCTGACTTTTCTATTTAGACTGGAAACTGTTTGGGGCAGGCATTCTCTCTCATTATGTGTTTGAAGAGTGCTAAGTACAATGAAGCCACAGAATCTCCTCTGGGGCCTCTAGGCACAAATGTAACACAAATAACAATAGTAGTAATCTGTGAAGTTGTGATTTAGAAATAGTTCTGATTTTGGTCACTGTTCTGATCTTTGCACAGCCTGCACTCTTTGAAAGAGAATGTTAAGTGTTTGCCTAACTTCTCCATTAGTATTTCCATACATTGAAAAGGGGAATCTTGCTTGCCACACCTTCAAATGCATAGAATCATAGAATATCAGGGTTGGAAGGGACCTCAGGAGGTCATCTAGTCCAACTCCCTGCTCAAAGCAGGACCAATTTCCAACTAAATCATCCCAGCCAGGGCTTTGTCAAGCTGGGCCTTAAAAACCTCCAAGGAAGGAGATTCCATCACCTCCCTAGGTAACGCATCTCCAGGTGTGTGCAGGAGGAATAGCTGAATTTGAAATAATGCACTATGAAAATATTGGTCCTGTCTGTCCTGTATTTATTTGGGTTAAATCTAGTTTAAAATAGTCAACAGTGTATTTGACCACAGTTAGGTAGTTCTATGTTTTTGCCCTACTGACCACATTCCTTAAATTGGAGGGGGGTATATAATATTTCGCTTTCCATTACATATGAATAAATGTAAGGTTTATAATAAATGGGTTCTTACTCCTAAGCGTTACTGTCTACTTTTGAACACTGAGTCTTGATTTAAAATATCCCCCCCAGAAATCCCTGGTGTGAAACAGAGAAAATCCGGTATATTAAAGACAATTTTCTGTAATGTGAAATAATTCCAATTAGTCACTTGTAAGAGTTGTGCTGAACTAGCTAACAGCCTCGTGTTAAAAAGTGCTAATTTCCCCAGTTGCATGCATACATATATCTTATTATCTGCAAATCAAAATGTGGTAATATAATATCATGTACAAAAGGGCCCACTTACAGGTGCACTTAATCTGGATTTGTTTATCTTTCTGCAGGCTATGTGGCTGATGTTGCAAACGGATGAGCCAGAGGACTTTGTCATAGCTACTGGGGAGGTCCACAGTGTCCGTGAATTTGTGGAGAAGTCATTTAAACACATTGGGAAAACCATTGTGTAAGTATGAATAGGAGCTAGCAGCAATGGGTTTCTGAATCGTATCAACTATTGACATGTGGCTTTGATTTTGCCATTACATAGCAATATTTTTTTTTGTATTCTTTTTCACTTCCACGTTTCTTATGTTTGTAACATAAGGCCTCTGGATCTGAATCACTGACTCTCGCTCAGCCTATCCAACCGCAGGGTATTGCTCCAGCACCCTCCCCTCCACCAAAAACACATCTAGCAGAATTTCATCCACTCCTGGTGGGGTAGGTTGTAGATATCTCACCTCGGCATTCTTATAGGCTGATCCTTTTCCATTGTAAATCCCATCTTCCTGCCCTCAGTTCCCCAACACCATTGCCCTCCCCACTCTGGGAGGGCTGACCACCTCGGCTGAGATTACAGTGCTATACCATTCTGTACTGGCTCGTAGGGAATGGATGTTTTAGACACATTTTATTGTTGGTGCACTTTTGTCCTCATCACCAGTCCCGAAACAGAAACTGCCACTTCAGCCACATTCCCAGAGTCCGCCAGTTTAAGATGTCACACCTGTAAACTCGATTCCTTTCTGTGTGGCAGCATGTTGGCCACACTGCTGGGACTATATAGCAGCATCGCTCTGCATTCTTCTTAGTTCTTGTCCTACTGAGCCATAAAAATGTTGAGCTGTGGGTGCAGAAAGTTTACAGTGCATATTCTGCATAGTTTGACTGAAAATACAAAATTCCTTCTCAAGGCCAGATAATAAAATCAGGCTGGCTTTGTGAATGCTTTCTGTAATTTATATTTTTATTGTTTATTATTTTTTCAATTTCCCTCCTTCTGTATCTTCTCTGGGCCCCATGCATCAACATACCAATCTCAGCTGGAAGAGGGAGAGGAAAGCCACAGGCTCTTCCATGACGCTAGCACCAGGGCTCTTCCTCAGGCCATCAAAGACACTGGTGCAGCTGGTGAACTTTTGACAGGGCCAGTAAGTTTTACTTGGGAGCAAAAACTTGACACATTCAATAAATATGCAGAAGTGCACAGATATATACAATATTATTTGAATAGTCAGTGGGTGGTTGGGTAGATAATAACATTTTCCCTTAATGAATGTTAGTCTGGTTTCAATTTTTGGCATTTACTTTCAGAAAAATTCAGAGGGGCAGTATAGTAATGAACTTCCAGCCCCAAAGCTCGATTTTAGGATATTTTTCTTCAAATATTTAGCATCTTTCTTGATTTGCTTGCCCATCTTCTCTACCTCTGCACAATTAACAGTGTGAACTTTAACCACAGTGACATTTTTCAAGGGCACTAGGAATTGTTTCCTCTCTTTCTTTTTTTTTTCTGTATTTATTATGTTTCTTTTTTTATGACTGACTTTCACTGGTAAGTATTGTTTTAAATTGAAATCAGGTGAAACATTAGTGTTTACTGTGGAAACTGTTGTTCTGTACAGATGCGTAATCTTATGATATCCAGAACCCTTTCTTCTGTCTCCTGTTGGATGTTGCTCTGCATTAAGAAGACGACTTGGTGGTCAAAATTTTTAAATGTGGATGTCTAAAGTCAGGCACCAAAATTCATGTTTAGAAGTGCTGGGCATCCACTGACTTCAAGTCTACTCACCTATTTAAAATTAAATACCCTACTTAAGAGTTTTGCTGGACTGGTCTAGTGTACTCGGCACTTCCAGGATCAAGAGCTAAATGATATATTCTTGTAAGCAAAAGAAAAAATAAACTCTGAACTCATCTGCCCTGCAAAGGAAAGGAAAGCAAAAGGGAAAGAATTTTGCAAATAGCTCCTATTATAAATAATGAGGAAAACCCCATTTTCAAAAGTCATTAGATACTAAGGTCTCTACCGTCCATTGAGTGTCAATGAGACATAGGGATTTAGGCTCCTAAATCACTTAGGCATTTTTGCCCTTTTTGATAGAATTTATTAACTATTCCCTTAAGCAATATCTGGCAATACTAATATATTCACTTATGGATCTAGTAAGGTAATGTGTTAATATAGTTTTTGCCATTTGGGTGCATAAAAAAGATGTATATTATTTAAGTGCTAATTACTTTTGCTTTGAGATCAGCACAGTTGTGATAATTTTTATATAGTTTCCCCCAAATAATCTCCGCTAAATGGGGTTGATAATAGGGATAGACAAAAATGCTTAGTTTAATGTAAAAACCCACCTCCACATCCCAAAACCATTGCTCTTCTCTTAAACTGAACTAAATCTATAAGTTTTTTGAGGTTTGGGAAAGATTTTTGTTAGGAACCTTCCTGATTTTCTAGGTTCCAACATGGCCTCTATGCCTTCCCAAAATATACACTCACTCTCTCCCCTTACTACTGCTGTCTTCTTGACTGGATGGCTGGCAATCTTTTACCTCTTTGTGGAACCCTTGAGGGCCTGTTACCTTGAAATTGGAAGAGGTGGGGTATTGTCTTTGGGAATTAACCAGGCAGTCAGTCCCCTTCTCCACTCTAGTAAGTCCTATTGATCTACCGCTTTAAAATTAATGATGCACCAAAGACGTGATGCTCCAGAATGCACTGTGTGATCATTAAATCAACTCCTGCAAGAAAAAGCTGATTCCTCCCTCCTTCCCTCCCTCCCTCCTTGTGAGATCAGTTTTTCATGGGAGTTATGAAATTTCAGGATCTCGAATGGCACTCTTGGGAATAAGCTCCTGGCTGCCTTTTACATTTTTAAAATGAAAACAAATCTTCCCACTGCTGCCCCACAGTGCACCAGTGGTCTTTCGAAATCCACAGCTTCTGTAAGCTGTGCCCGGGAACTGTGGGATAAGTATCCAGAATGCAATGCCTTGAAACTGTTCATGACAGGGCAAGCCTGCAATGGCTCTTTAACCCCTTCAGCTGGGCTAGTTTGTGTTTGTGAGTGAAGTAACAAATGCCTGTCCTCGAGTGCAGACACAGCCATCATATCTTTGGTTGCTTGATATTGCAGTATATGGTATCCAGGAAAACAGTTTTGAATGCTCCATCACCACATTTAAACTTCTCTCATCATTTGTACAGTCATTTTTCTTTCTCATACATATTAATTTGTGCAGCTAAACACACAGTACAGACTAATAAACCTTTCAATGAAGTTACATCATACTCTCTTAGTCAAAGATTACAACATTTTATTTTACCATAGTATCTAATCTAAAACATGAAAAAAGGAAAATGTTAGTACATCATGTAAATAATTAGATACATAGCTACAACAAGACTAGCGTGTTATTTCTCTGAAATGTAGTATAAAATGAACACAGGTTTATTTTTACAGGTTTGTTTTGTGTGGATTTTTCTCTTAACACTTTTTTTACCAGGAAGAAATTTGAAATGATATTTATAGAGTGGCTCAGAGTCATTCTAATTCAGGCCTTTGCACTGACAGGAAAGCCTCTGAGCTACAAATATTTTTCCCCTGTAAGCATTACACTTTTTTTTCTTTTTACTTTCCCTTCTACTTATTACTAATTAAGTAATACTAGGGGAAAACACTTCCCTCCTATAATTTGAACTACAGCAGGGTTAAACCAAACAGGCAAACGCTTGTCTTGACTAATTTTCTGTCATTAATCTTATTAAATTAGAACAGGATTGCAAGATAGCCTGAAACCACTACAGCACTCAGAATTCTTTTCAGACTGCTGTCTGCAAATGGCAAAATATATATATTTTCAGGTAGTGGAAAGATTTGTTGTATTTTTTTTTTTTTGGTTAATATAAAACTGCATGTACATTTGCAACAGAAATATTCATTGCTTCAAGGGCCAGAATTAATGCAGGAAGATGAACATTTTACCACACTCATGGTGGCTCCATGTTTTATTCTTTGTGATAGTTAACTTGCCACCTAGTCTGTAATGATCACCCCACAAATGGGATTCCCTATAATAATAAGAAGAAGGTCTGATGAGGTGAGCCTCTGGAAGCCCAGGAGTGTTTCTCTCTCGGTGATGTGGAACAGCAAATGGGAAGTGGAACTTTATTTTAAAATGGAAGATTAGGATTAGGATGTAGGAACACGTGAGAGAGATTGGAAGGACTACTGAAGGAATGCAAAGCAGACAGTTCAGTGGATGTGGGGAAGGGGAAAGGGAGCCGTCCAAAGACTTCATGAAGAGTCACTGGTTTCACATCTGGCTTTTGACCACAAGGTCTTGCTGTCTGGCCAGTGACTGTGTGTATTTAGCAGTATGAGAAAATCAGAAGCTTTCAGATCAGGAAGAAGGGAACTGAAGCGCACACAAACTGAAGAAAATGTGAGAGTGAAGGATGGAAAATATCCAGGCAAAATGTATTTGTTTAGGTAAATTCATACATACTGTTTCATTCTTTTGATTTTTTTTTCATTGTTACTTTCTCTTTATAGTAGGTATTGTGATATCACTTTATACACCTCATGCCAGGCAATCAAGTCACCACCATATAAACCCGACACACTCTGAACTCTCTGATCACATGAGTTTTAGGAACTGGCAGGTGAAATAACTGCCCAAGCGCCTCAGACTGATTCTTTATTAATTATTCATATTTATTTTCATGTGCCAAAAGTGCTGAAATACTGTGAGCGGCTGTTCACATAGCATTTCTAGCCTGGCCAGAAACAGGAAGTACTGAAAGAACTTTCAACAGAACCTGATGCAAAATTTGGGGTTGGAAATCTTGCAGACACAAGGAGATTTGTTTAACTTGGTCAACAGGGAGAAGCATGCTTTGACAGGGTGCAGTAGCCCCGTCTGATCTCTGATGAACAAAGAGTTAATTTCAGTAGATTTTTTCCCCCTCCCATTGTACAGATGCTCATGGAAGGGAAAACTGAGCTGAAGTTAAGTGTTTTCACCAGTGACCAGGCAATGACCATTCTCCCTGTCATTCATCCAAACATTTTGGGTAATTATCTGATCTAAACCTTCAGACCTTTTGAGATTCACAATTGTTAAATGAAAACATTTGCTCCTGAACACAAGTGTTCCTAATAGGATGCAGAC